GAAAGTGGACTCAAACGTGCCAGCACACACGTGCTTAGAGTGAAACACTCGCACACACACGTGCACACACTTTCACACACATTCTCACTCTCACGTACACTCACAAACACTGTCACATACACAGTCTCACACAGTTATACACACAAACTCTCACTCACACTGTTACACACTCTTACATGCATACTCTCACACACATTCGCATACACAGTTACAAACTCTCTCACACACTCAGTCTCTCACAGTTACACACACTCTCACAAACACTGTTACACACTCACACAGTTGCACACTCTCACAGTCTCTCACAGTTACACAAACCCTCTCACACACTGTTACACACTCTCACATGCATACTCTCACACACATTCGCATACACAGTTACACACACTCACAGTTACACACTCAGTTACACACACACAGTCTCTCACAGTTACACACACTCTCACACACACACTGTTACACACTCACACACAGTTGCACAGTCTCTCACAGTTACACATACCCTCTCACACACACTGTTACACACTCTCACACATACAGTGTGTTGGCACAGCCCCCATCGACAGCCACAGACTCCGTCGCACACATTACTCACAGAGAGGGGGAGACAGAGAGAAAGGCCTTTTTGTGCGGCTTTGGGAAATGATGTAAAAGAGCAGGACTCTGGAGGGGGAGGGGAGGGGAGGAAGGCAGCTCAGGGCTGACTTTTAAAAGAGTGCCTTCTTTTCCCTTCCCTGTCCGCTGTCTCTCCTCCACCGAGCTCTCCCCCTCACCCTCTCCTGGTCTGATCAGGGCCAGCTCCAGGGACCAGCGATAGGGGGAGACCGTTTCACAGAACAAGAGAGTTTGACAGAAAGAGAGACAGACAGGTAGACAGAGGAATGATAGAGAGACAGGCAGATAGACAGACAGATGAAGAATAGACAGAAAGAGGAATGATAGAGAGACAGACAGGTAGAGGAATGATAGAGACACAGACAGGTACTTGACCTTGAACTTGAACTTTATCGCCATATGTAACTGGTACACGTACTGGTACAATGGAATTCTTACTGACAGAAAGTCTCTCGATTGTTAAAACAAGTGTAAAACCACAAAGTGCAGACAGTGCATCAAGACAATATACAAACAAACAGTAGACAATGTACAAGTAAACAAGTAAACAGTTTGAATGAAGGTAGACAGACAGAGGAAATAGAGACACAGACAGGTAGACAGAGGAATGAAAGAGACTCGAATAGGTAGACAAAGAGAGGGATGATAAGAGAGACAGGTAGACAGAGGGATGATAGAGAGACAGACAGGTAGACGGGGATGATGAGAGACAGACAGGTAGACAGGGAGATAACAGAGAGACAGACAGGTAGACAGAGAGATGATAGAGAGACAGGTAGACAGGGGGATGATGAGAGGCAGACAGGTAGACAGAGGGATGGTGATATATAGACAGGTAGACAGAGGGATGATAGAGAGACAGTCAGGTAGACAGAGATGACAGAGAGACAGACAGGTAGACAGAGGGATGATGAGAGACAGACAGGTAGACAGAGAGATGATGGAGAGATGACAGGCAGTGAGGTAGCCGACAGAGGCAGACAGACAGACAGACAGACAGACAGACACGGCAGGCCGGAGTGCTGTGCGGTGACCTGCAGCTGCTCTTCATGCGGAGAACGAGTGAGGGAGGCAGGGAGGGCCTGCTCTCCGGCAGCTGGAGTGTGTGTGCGAGTGGGAGTCTGAGTGGGGTAGCAGACTACCTGAGACACGAAGCAGAGAGGAGCGGCGCTCCGCGCTGACTCAGAGGAGAGAGAGGGAGAGAGGGAGGGAGGAGAGAGGCACAGGGAAATGGAGGGTGAACAAGATTCAGGGACTGAGGACAGACGCAAAAGGAAAAAAAGAGGGAGGGAAGATTTCTCAAATCCAGAGCAATTCCCAAGCGTCCGAGCCTAGGACATAAATCTCAGAACCTGCGCTGACAGATGCGGCTGTACATTAATTTCATTTTCCTTTGACGGTTCCTGCAGTGTCTCTGGCTAGACTGACACCATTAAATTAAGACATGCCTGTCTAACAACAGGGAGGAATTTGATTTCCTTTTGAAGCCATAGAAAAAGCAGCCTGCAGCTTTCCCTGAGTACTGCTCTCAGCTCCCACAATGCTCTGGGAGACAGAAAGAGGCTGAGGCGCGCGCGTGCGTGTGTGTGTGTGTGTGTGGACACATTTCTGCCAATATGGGGCAAGATGTGGAAAATATGGCAGGCAGGCGATGGGCTGGCATCCTCACAGTAGAAACGACTCCCTAATGAACCGAATGGCAGCTTTTCTCCTGCTCAAAGGGGCCCAGAGTGTTACAGCTGGGTCCGGTTTCACCCTGAGTGGGGTTGGGAACAGAAGACAGAGTGAGAGTCAAAGCGAAGTCATCACAGTGACAGGAGTGCACATGTTTTGTGCGCGTTTGTGTGCGCCTTTTATTGTGCCGTGGTGTGGTTGTGCGTGTGACTGTGTTATTGTGTAAAGGTGTGTGTTGGTGCTTGTTAATGTTCTTGCGTGTGGTTGTGCATGCTTGTGTGTGTGGGTGTGCATATTTGTATACGGCTTTCTTATTGTGAATGTTGTTGTGTGTGGTGGCGTTGTGGTGTGTATTTGCACATGGCAGTGTTATTGGTGTGTAGTTGTGCGTGTTTGTGTGTGATAGGGTTAGTGTGTGTGTGTAGATGGGGGCAGGATGGCGTTTCAGGCTCTGAATAACAACTTCCTGCCTGTGAGCCGAAGAGGAAGCCATGAACGCCAATGACTTCCTCTCTGAGCTCTTGTCCCAGCACTCAAGCCCGGCCTGAAGTGAAAGTGGCAACAGCAAGGCGGGAGAAGAAGGGGGAGAGCCGAGCGCTGCAGGCGGCAGAAACAGGACACAGGGATCTCTAGCCAGAGATCTCCGAGAGCGTCCCCCGCAGTGAAGGAGCCACACCACACACGTGTCACAGGTTCAAGAAGGGGGCAGTGCTCGATAGGTCAGGTCAGCCTTCGAGGGGCCCAGTGGTTCCTGCCACTCGCTGAGGGACACACTCTGGATGAGATCCTGGGATCAAGCACCGCGTGCCTGTCCCGTGACAGTGGACGACTGCGGCCCCAAACCTTGGGCCTGTCGGAGGAGTCTTGTTTTCCCTGATGCAGCAGACAGGAGGCACCACCGGACAGCTGAGCTTCGAACAACTCCACCCATCCACTTTCTGACCACTTCACCCAACGCAGAGTCGCAGGGGAGCTGGATCCTATCCCAGCAAGCAACGGGTGCAAGGCGGGGTACGCCCTGGATGGGACACCAGTATACGGCAGGGCAGAAACAGACACACACACACACACTCATCTCCGGGCCAGTCTCCCCAGAAACCCCATGAGCAGGACTGCAGGAGGAAAACCACACGAACACAAAAAGAGAACACCCCCAGAATCAAACTCGGGGGCCCCCCGCTCTGCGAGGCAGCGATGCTAACCATTGCGCCACTGCGCCGCCCCATGAACAATTCACCATCGCGATATTCTTAAAGATACCTGCAACAAATGCAAACAGCCGCATGGTGTTTCAGGCCCTGGGAGGGAAGGCAGTGTTTGTGGCTGAATTTCTCTCTCAGTGCATGATGACTCATGTCCTCCTGCAGGAGCCACAGTGGAACACGAACCACAGAGGGAGAGTAAGGGGGGGTGTGCATTTGAAACCAAGAACTGGAGACCCCCCCCTGTCCTTTACACAATGGGTGGTGGGTGTTGTGAACAGACTGTTGTTTGATTCCCTGGTATCCCGCAAGTAATGTCTGGATGAGATCCTGGGATCAAGCACCAGTCAGTAACTGAAGAGCACAGAACACTTACAGTATACTTGAGAAGAGGCCAGTCATCTTACCATCTGGTGGGTTTGGTGGTAGTTACGTTATCTGAACTGAACTACACCAAATGAGTTAGACTGGCATAGTGACCCCCTTTAGCCTGTAAGCCTATTTATTTCGCATGTTTAATGACATGTTGTAACAATCTTCCTACCCAGTAATAAAACAAGTCTGTTACACTGTTCTGTCTGTTACACAGGACACTGCTGTCTACCTTCCCTGCTTCAGAAACATCCAGAGACAAAATACAAATGAAACAGCGGCACTCCTGACGACCCCACTAACCCTGACCTTTCATCCAGCAGAGCTCTTCATCGGAGCCCTTTACTAAACTAACGTTCGGATCAACTGGAAGCACTATGCTTCTAGCTCTGGTGCTGCTGGAGTATTCAACTTTTGCGAGTACGGTTTCACAATATTCTAACAACTGAAATCAGCTGCTTAATTCAGCCCCTGAGAGCTCATCCCGGAATTAATATGGAGATGGGGAAGCCAAGCTAGAGGGCGGAAATTCACAAACCAGCCCCCCACCTTATCCACCTCAGTTCAGAAACCGGCACCCCAGCCTTCAACCACCCGGCCCCAGAAAAGAAAGACAATGACTCCTTCACTTTTCAACTTTTTTTTTTTCACATTTTCATTTTTTTTTCCAAGCAACGACGTGACATGTCTACATCACAGGCAATTATTGTCAATGGTTTTGCTGTTAACATTGTTGACACGGTGCCTGACCTTCAGGCAGCTTGTACAGAAGAAGGCTACTTGCAGCACTCTGAACAATACATACAGGACGTTACCCCCACCGCTGTCCACACCTGCCTCACGCCTCTCTCTCCTTTCTGTTAGCAGTCCTTTAACACCTCCTGTCTGATTGGCAGTCTCCTGATGGAGTGGTCGTCATGGTTACAGGACTCTCTTCCTGAGGCAAGACAGGGCCACAGCAGAGACACAAACAGCAGAGAAACTAAACAGACAGACACGTGCGCAGGACACACCTTGGAGATGTTTTAAGATGCTAATTGACAACGAAAGTAGATTACAGATTCCCAAGGGTGACCAGATTATAACGACAGCGATGAAGATCCCCCTGGGGCATAGCTGTCTGCCATGAGTTTCGTATGTCAGCTGCTAAATAAAACGGTTTAGTTTTTTTTTTGGGGGGGGGGGGGCGTTAGGTTAGCTTATTCAGCGACAAGCGATTTTTGAGGTTTTCTAAGAATGGTCACAAAGATGTCGGACTGACGCAGATCGGCGCAGAAGCCACCAAGAGGGACGTAAACAACATCAGGATAGAGAGCAGGGTAGCACAGCCAGGCCGGCGTGCCGTTAACCCGAACAGCCGTCAGGATGGCCCACAAGGCCCTCCTGCCTGGCCCGTGGTCCGAACGGACCCAGACGCTTGCCGTCGAGTCAGAAACCCAGGCGCAGACCCGGCACTCTCAGGACTGAAGCGGAGCCAGGGGAGGAGGGGGAGAGGTTCTGCAAGCAAAGCCTCCGAACGCAAAGGGAGGCCGGGGGCGGGGGAGGAGGTCACACAAGTGTGCGCGTTTTGACTTCTGTTTTTCCATTATCGGGAGTTGTTCTCATTCACAAACGCACAAAATGACAAAACGTCTGCTCAACATCAGGTAAAGACAAAAGACCCCCGCAAACATGCCAGAAGAAAATTTTAAAACAGGTGGAAAAAAAAAACACAGACCAAAAAGATTTTTTTTGTAGGGTCTTTCCCTTTATCAGTCCCTTCTTCCTGACAGCCGCCTGAACACGTCCCGGCCACCGGGAGCCCAGACAGACAGCTCTAACTCAGCATCTTGCGCTCAGACAGGCACTTCGAAGTGTGATTGCTGATGCACAGCCCGTTTTCCCAGAGTTCCCTGCGCTCCCTGTTCCACATCCTGAGAACACGTGCACCGCTGTCTCAGGAGGCTGAGAGAGGCGCTAGTTTTCGGGCTCTGCTTTCATCTGGAAGGATAAGGCGTTCGCAGTAACACTCCTCACGACTGCTCGAGAGCTTGCCCGCCTTCAGCACCGCGAGCCTCCCAGGGATCAGTCGCCTGCAGGCCTTTGACAACCAGGAAAACTCATTCCGGGACTGCTATACCGCTGCCCGAGGAGCAGATGGGAAGACAGGCGCCGAGATAGTCGGGGTACCCCTTCAGATCCTCTAAATAAAAGCAGGGAGAGGTGCCCCCCTCTTCAAAACTCTATGAGATGGCTTTTGGGCACAATTCCCAGTGACTTGGCGTTACACAGAGTCGCCAGTCCACGGAGGTGAGGAGCTGGGGTGAGACAGTCTGCCCTCTAATGCTTTGTCTGGCACAAAGGTACAGGAGCGTGCGCAACATGTCTTGTGGCCCGCTGGGAATTCTCCGCCTGCCTGCTCGTCATGGGTAACGTCAGTCACAAAAACATCATCCATCACCCTCGCAGTCATCTGTCTCTCGGTTCCCGCCGTACCAGGCACCTTCTCCGGTCTTGCAAACACCGACCTGGAGCTGCATGTCATTGTACGTCCACAGGGGGGGGAAGAAAGGACCAGGTCAGCTGACGACAGAAAGCTGGCGCGAGAAATCAGCTTGGCACACTCTCACACAAAGGGATAATCCTTCCCTGACAGGTGAGACATTTAGCACAGCTGAGAGCAAGGCCGTACTTCGGCTAAGCGTTTCAATAGAAAGGGCATGAAAGCTGGCGGGGCGTCGTGGTGCCAGGGTAAGCTGTAACAGGCCACGGATGGGTCGCATAAATACACTTGCGGTTTGCTACGCTTTTCTCTTTGCTAGGACCCCTGGCTGCAGCGAGTTCAGCTGCTCTGCGCGAGACTCCTGAACTCCAGCAGAACCTCAGCCAGGAGCAGTCGATCCTGCTCCTGAAGAGGCCCTGGCACTCCTGCTGGTTTCCACGCCAGCACACCACTTAACGACCACAGTCAGCTTGTTACAGACTTAAATGGATCAGTGGAGCAAGGTTGCCCAACTTGCGCAACCAGGTGCAGACTCTTCTAGGTCCAGGACCAGGACTGGACAGCTGCTGTCCGTCTGCCAGAGCAGCAACCCAAACCTGCTCTTCTATGCTGCTGCTGGCGATAAGCCCCGATCTGAGACCCGACGGCGGGAGGGGGGGGGGTCAACCCATCCAGCTGACAGGGGCAACGCACTGGGCGAACGTCTCCCAGCCACCAACGCCAACACTGTGACTCCTCCCAGGGAGCGAAGAAATCAAGTCACAGCGGATCGCGGGGCGCGGAGCCTGACGGAGGCACTCAGGAAGGGTAAGGACAGTCAGAGAACTGGAGGAAGGGACCCCAGAAACCCAGGTGACCCCCTCTTAATTAGCAGCCACACGCCCACGGCTCAGATCCGCCTCTGAAAGTGAAAAGTGAAACTGCCGGCCTGACCAACAGGTGCTGTGCTCGCCAGCGGGTTCCACAGGCTCAGAGCCCAGTGAGGGAGGCGAAGGGGCATTAGTGAACGACGCCTGGGGGTCTGGATGAGGTTAGTGGGGTTCTGCCGGTGCTGGGGGTGGAGTTAGGGGAGAGAACTGGAGAAATAGTGGCAGGGCCTCAGACTCCTCCCTAACCCTTGTGAGACCCTGAAGTTCCTGTAAGGCTAGGGCACGAGAGCGATCTGTGCACACAGGGAGACAGCACAGCCACAGACTGCCATGGGACGCCGGTTTAGCAGGTGGCAGAGGAACACTGCTCAGAATTTGCCCGCATTGCCCGTCTCAGAGCAGCCCAGCACCAGGTCAGGGCCTTGTGCAGAGGTACCGCAGCGCTCCTGCCACAAGGGGGGTTTGGGGATTGGGGTGCAGGGAGAAGGGGTGCAGGAATGTAGAGCTGGAGCCAAGACACAGCCCAGACACAAGATTCAGAAGTTCAGCTTGTGGGAGAAAAAGATCTCCTAGTAGCATACATGTGGCTTGAGGCACTGCAACAGATTTGAAAAAGGCTACGTTCTAACAACTTTCAGAAACACAAGAAGGCCATTTCTATGATTGTTTTTCTTGGTTGATACTATGGAGAAAAAAAATTGTTTTGTAAGACCAGTCCTGTATTAACAAAAAATTGTGTTTCTTAAAAATGGCTACAATCATAAAACAAGAGGCACTTTTTTCCTTAGATTCATATATTTTTTTCTGTATATATATTTTGTTTCATCCCCGGTAGATTACAATTATTTTTGTTTTTCTTATATTTCCTGGCAAAGCAGAAAAAAGACAATTGTCGTTCGCTCCTGCTTGGCAAGCTGATGATCTTTGCTCCTTACCGATTGGCTCCGTGTTCTCCTGTCAAAGAGTCTGATTTGCCAAGTCTTCAGCAGCCAATGCATTCCCATTGGTTGCGTTAATTCAGTACCCACCAATAAAAAGAAAGCAAAAGAAATCCACAAATTGCTCCTTTGGGGGGGCGTGTCCAAGATCTCTGCATGACATCCAATGGTGTTCCTCTTAAGGCATTAGCCCCACCCCTCATGTATCACTTTTGGATGTAGGGTAGAGGAGGCAGATCTAAAGCAGAGGCAGCAAATTCGGTCCTCCAGTTTCCCAGAATTCAGTTGGGCTGTCAACATTCTGCAGAGAGACAGAAGATAAATTAGCAAAAATCATAATGCAAGTTCTATTAACAAATCTCTCCCATTTGTACACAAGCTCATTCAACTAAGGGAATTACCCCTCTAAACCGCAAGACAGTTATGTTTAGCTGAATACTCTCACCAAAATGTTGAGAGTCCCCTGCCCACTAAACAACACCGGAGTCTCTACCAACGGCAGAAACAGCTTGAACTGGACATTACAAGATGGATCCCACAAGGGTTTTGAAATATTTGCAGCTGTTCACGTGCTAACCAAGCCCTGCCCTCCACACTGAGAGAGCCTACTGCTGAGGAAGGAGAGGAGTGGCTGCCTAATAAATAGCACGAAAATTGTGAAGTAATTGTACGAAAACACCAAAATCCTAGACGTTGGCTCTTCTGAGTCTTAAACTGGTCCAAAATTGTCAGTAACTGCTGACTGGTTTTGCAAAATGTTGCTCTTTTCCCCTTGAACACATACACAGCACACACACCTGACACAGACATTACACACACACCTGACACAGACAATACACACACACCTGACACAGACATTACACACACACCTGGCACAGACATTACACACACACCTGACACAGACAATACACACACACCTGACACAGACAATACATACACACCTGACACAGACAAACCTGGCACAGACAATACACACACACCTGGCACAGACAATACACACAAACCCGACACAGACAATACACACAAACCTGACACAGACAAACCTGGCACAGACAATACACACCTGGCACAGACAATACACACACA